TGTGTGTGTGTGTGTGTGTGTGTGTGTGTGTGTGTGTGTGTGTGTGTGTGTGTGTGTGTTGGGGAGAGTGGAGATTGAGCAGTTGTGGGAACATAACAGAGTAGAGGATGAACATTCACATTTCAGAGACAGAATTTAATATATCAAACTATACCATTCCTTAGGATGGTTGGTTGCCTAGTGATCTTTTTTAGTTTCAAAAAGCATTTTACTCTAGAAGTCAACTGTCTTTATCTGCTTAAATTGACTGTTTTTCTAATCAGCCAGTTTAGAGAGGAGGTAAAAGGATGAGACCTAGGACATTTCCTTGGATATCCACAGAGATATAATGAGAAATTCTTACATGATCTGGATAGGGCTATGGACTGGACCTGTGATGCCATTGATATAAAGCTGGGATTCCATGAACTAGCATTTCAAAATATATTTTGATAACTGGATTTCAATATAATTGGATTCTTTTGTGATCATATGTATTATATTTTATGTATTTAAAAACATTTTGAGAAGGGATCCATAGATTTCATTAGACTGTCAAACTGACACAGGTAAATGTAAAAAAATCCCTTGTATACAGAGCTCCCAGGTGAAGAAACTCCCTCCATTAATGCAGATCCTCACCTTCTCTGTGATTTACAGTCTAGGGTTGACTAGAGTATTGAGAGAGTTCAAGTGACTTGCCTAGTATCACCCAGCTAATATGTTGGAGGCAAGACCTGAAACTAGAACTTTCCAGCTCTGAGACTTATTCTATTCACTATGTCTTACTTTTGCCCAGGGCAAAATCAGTTGAATGGAGATTTACAAACCCAACACCAGTTGGGTTCACTCTCAGTTGAGAGAGTGTTATGACTCCCAACGCCATGCTCTTAACCAAGCAATGAACATTTATTAAACAACTACTATGTGCAAACAGCTAGATAGAACAGTGGATAAAGTACTGGGCCTGAGATCAACTCAGACACCTCCTAGCTGTGTGACCCTAGGCAAGTCACTTCACCCTGCTTGCCTAGAGAAGGAAATGGTGAACTATTCCAGTATCTCTGCCAAGAAAACCCTAAATGGTGTCACAAAGAGTTAGACACAACTGAAAAACAACACAGCAACATGTGCAGGACACTCTGTTTGATACTAAGGATATGAAGATAAAAATGCCATAACTCCTGCCTTCAAGAAACTTACATTCTACAGGAGCTTTTATAGCAGTGACAAGAAGTACTATCTGCACTATAAATACACAACCTCCAGCTAGTGGAGAGCCTATCTGCCATTCTCTGAAACAGACAAATAGCAGGGAACTTATCAGAATTACTCTATACTTTCTTTTTCCCTCTCAACTAAATTTTTTTCCAGATTCAAGAATGGAGGAAAAACAGTGGGAGAATGCAGATCCCAGGAAAGGGCCCCAGTGGTGATGGTGCCCTGTGGATAGCAGATGTGGTAGCCCAGAGGTTGTAGAAATGGTGGCCTGGGGCTAGTGGAGGACTTTGAGGGACAGAGGGACAAAAGACCACCAGGGGCAGGAAATGCAAAGGTCTCGACCATCCTAACCAAACTGGGCCATTTGTCCAACTCATTAATTAATGGGTTGGGTTACCTGTATATAGAGAACTTCTAACTCCAAGGAGCTCTTTCTATGACTTCAGGGTCCTTGATGGTGAAATGTGGATGAACTGGGCACAGAGGCCCCTTCTATCTCTCACATTCCGAGCTTCTGTGGCTCTGAGAACATTGCATCATACCTGAACATCCCTTTGTATTTATGAAATGCCTCAAAATCTGTTCATCAGCATTTTTCCCCATCTTGCCTGAAATAAGAAAATCCTCATCTTCCCTATTCCTTTCTTTAGGCATGGTACAGGAATATGAGCTGTTACTTCAGGTAATCTATCAACATTCAGCTCAAAAAAGAAAATTTCAGAATTTTCTGAAGGACCTGAAACCTCAATACTCCTGGCCAAATGGGACATTGGAAATTATCAGAAAGAAAGCTACTACATGTGAGCCAACTCTCTTCTGTTCAGGATTGGTCTGGGGAATGGATCAGTGTGGGTGAGCCCTAAATATTTAGAAGGGGGTAAAACTTACCTGATATCATGTGGCACAGTGGATAGATCATTGAGGTTGGAACTATGAAGAACTGAGTTCAAAATCTGCCTTAGAAACTTGATAAATGTGTGACACCAGACAAGTCATTTAGCCTCTCAGCTCAGTTTTCCTATTTGTAAAATGAAGGGATTTGCCTTAATAGCTTCTAAGGTCCCTTCTAGCTTTAAATCTATTATAATCTGCCCTTCTCACCTTTTAAGATTCACTCCTTCACTTTCAGAGCCCTATCCTACAGAGTCTGACCTGCCTGATGCAGGACATTCATATGTTATCCCAACCTCCCCAGTAATTACCAAAATCCCTAAGGTACTAAACCCTAAAAACCCCTAACTTTCCCAAGTGGTGGCCTTTGTTATTTTCTGGTCACTTAGAGTTCATGACTGCCGAGCTCTGGTTTCCCTTTATTCCTCTTCCCCATTGAAACTTCCTTACCTTATGTAATTAATGACCGACAGTCAGTCAACAAACATTTATTAAGACCTTATTATGTGCCAGGCATTTTATATACATCATTTCATTTGAGCCCCACAACAATCCCAAAAGATGAGCACTTGAATTTCTATTTTACAAATAAGGAAACTGAAACTTGGAATTATGAAGGATTTGTCCCAGTCACACAGATTGTAAATGGCAACTGCTAAATCTGAACCTAGGTCTTCCTGATGCCAAATAAAACACTCTTTTCACTATCCCATGCTGCCTTTCCAATATCCTAATGGCTCGGCTAGTGTTGTGTGCCAATATGAGTAAATTATTTCATCATTAATGTATGCTAATGGCAACAGGTGCAAGGAGATGCCCCAGGGCCTTCCCTTATGCCGGGTAATACTTGTATATTTTCATGTTTGTCTTATGAAACCCAACTTTTCTGGTCTGACATAAGAAAACAACTCTAATAGCGGGAATTCTAAGTCAAGTAGAACCAAAAGTCAACAATACCATGGCAAGAGAGGGTAAGAACTGCTTGTTCTGCTTAGAAACAAGGTTAGCCCTATATGTGGGGATTATACTCTGGTAGAATCATGACCAAAGAGAATCTCCTTATTTGCAGAGAAATGATCTGGATCCCACCAAATAAACAGCATAATTCATATATATTACTTTCCATCACCCTTTCGTGGCAAACAATGTCCAACGAGCATACTTATCCTTGCCCTGAGATTGTGGTTCCTCTGTTGTAATAATTGAATCTGTTAAGTTGAGCTTTTACCCTGCTTGAAGCCTTCCTACTTTGATAACTGGTTCCATTCCTTAAGTTAGTGGAATATAGGACCATAGATTTTAAACTGAAAAGGATTTTAGAGACCATCTCTTCCAACCTCTTATTTTACAAACATGGAAACTGAGGACCAGAAGAATTAAGTGATTTGTCCAAGGTCACAGAGACACAAAGAAGAGCCAGGATTTAGATTTGGGTCCTCTGACTCCAAATCTAGTTGTCTTTCTCCTGGATTGAGTGACTCAGTTCATATAAAACATTCTATTCTTAGTGATTAGAGATTTGCATGTCAGACCTTTTGAAAATTCCAACCTTCCTTTCTTTGAGATAAAATTTGTTAGCACCACTCATAATAGGTGCTTAATAGACACTTGTTCTAGGGCATATGGGAATATATTTTGCATGACTTTACATGTTTAATTGATACCATATTGCTTAGGTGGGGTGGGAGAAGGGTGAGAGAGAGGGAGAGAACTAGCAACTTAACATTTTTTAAAACAAATGTTAAAAAATTTTTACATGTCATTGGGAAGTATTTAAGTAACTTAATAAAAATGTATTTAAAAAATAAATACTTATTCTCTTATTCCTTCCTCCTTCTATGCAGATTGTAGCATCCTGAATGGCACCCTGAGATGTGCTTGTGAAGACGGTTACCATTGGTTTTCTCACACTTGCCTGGATCCCAGGAGATGCCACCTTAACAAGACAGGGGCACATCAAAGCTGTGACTGTCGGTTGGACAATCTTCATGACAGCATCAACTTCTGTGAGAGGACAAGTAAGATCATAGATTAGGGTAGAATACTTGGAGGCAAGAATGGGAGAAACTTTCCTCTAAGCTAGGGTGGGGTGGGAGGTGGTAAGGGAGGGAGAATGTTCATATTCTTTCCTCCTGTGGTGCCTTTGACACCAATACTTTCTTCCTCATTTTACCAGTGACCCCTAAGGGATAGCTACTGGTAGCCAGAGAATGCAATAGCTTGCCATGGCCAAGATAGGGCCACAGCTGGGCAGCATGGTTTCCACAAAATACACTGGGTTTGAAGTCAAAGGACATGGGTTCATATCTGTTCTGCCTGTTTACTACTCAAAGGATGCTGGACAAGTCACTCTGCCTTTCTGAGCCTCAGTTTCCTCATCTATAAAAAAAAGAAAGTTGGACCCCATGATTTCTAAGGTGCCTTTCAGCTCTAAATCTATGACCCTATGTAGATACAGCCATACTAGGAAAACATTTAAACCTTGTTGCTGTATCTCCTGGCATCTTCCCCCCCATTCCTTCCTACCACTACTGATTCCCAAAGGATGAGGAAGAGGAATGAGGAGCATGGAGTAAGTCAGTTAAAATAAAATTTAAAAAGACCAGAGCAAAGCAGAGATTAAGAATTAGGTGCTAGAGGCCAGTATTGGCCGAGAGCACCACTGTCAACTCAGTGATGGGTTTTAGCAGAGGGTGAATTAAGTGAATATTTAGGACTTCATGGTTTGAGTGACATTATGGAACTGCTCCATGACCAGTCCAATGGTTCAAGCTAGTTTCAGTTGCTACTTGCCAGCATGGGTCAGAGAACGTGGGAGACTCAGCTTAAGCAGGATCATGGGTTCCCAAAGTGGGTGATACCACCCCCTAGAGGGCCCTGGAATGATCTAGGAGGGCAGTAATAGCCTCAGGTGCAATTGGGGGGTGTTGAATAAAAATAAGGGAGTGGTGGAAGCATAAGGAAAGAAAAGAAGATAAGAAAATTTTGAAAAACTATTTGTACATATTTCATCTGTTGTATAACAGAGTTAAAGTTGTAGTGATTACATATAAATAAACACACAAAATGCAAGTTATAACTGATCAGTGGTCAAGTCCACTGATAGGTCTTAACAAGCAAGTATTGGCAGGCTAGTGTTGCACTTGTTGGGAAGTCCAGCATGTATCTACAGGAATATGTGTATGTAATGACTTGTTTACAATACAATACTATATGGTTATGTGATGCAATATTGTGTTATCAAAATGTCAATGCAGGAAAAAACCCACAAAGTTACAATAAATTACTAAATTTAAGATAGGACACTTAAAATATATATATGCATATATATATTTTTTTTCTTTTTGAAATGATGCAAATTTTAAAAAAAAGATTGTTAAAGCATTAAAGATAGTAGATTTCCAATGGGGTGCTGCATAATTTTTTTTAAAGTGGTTGGTAGGCCAAATAAGTTTGGGAACCTGTGTTCTACATGACACCTTTATTGGTTCTCCCATCCATTACACAATCTTTCCCCAAACTTCCTTGTATTCATTTGAAAATATTATGTAGATAATTATATATGTGCATGTTGTCTCCCTTATTAGAATATAAGATTTTTGAGAACAGTGGATGATTCACTTTTGTTTTTACCACCCCTATGATGCCTGGCAAATAGCAAGTGCTTAATAAATGCTTGTTAATTAACTGAGCAATTAATTATCTCTGAAACTTTGAGCAATTCACAGCCTCTCTGAGCTTCAGCTTTCTCATCCATATAATGATAGGGTTAGACCAGGATCATAAATCTGACTGAGAGAAGAGCGCTGATAAGCCATCTAGTCCAATCTCTTCATTTCCCAAATGAAGAAAATAAAATCTAAGGAGGTTAAATAATGGATCTCTAATGTCCTTTCTACCTCTAAGATTCTAAATTCTATGATCTATTCGTGGGGCAGTTAGGAGACTATCCAGACTGGAATGGAAGGGACATATTGGAAAATAATGAAAGATGAAGTAGAATGAGGCCAGTTAAATGAGAGCCTTAAATGCCAAGCATTGCTCCAAGAGACCATAGGAAGAAAGTCATTATAGTTGTTTGTTTGTTTGCTTTTTTAAAGTAAAGGAGTGACATGAAAGTAGTGTTTCAAAAAAATTAATCTTGCAAAAATATGTAGACTGGATTAGAATAAGCTAGAGACTTGGAAGCAGGGCTGGGGTGGGAAGAACAAGAACAATTAAAGATCTATTTTAGTAATTCGTGTGCTCATTTTGGCTAAACTTTTTTAATGGTTCCATTACAAACAATATGATAGAAAGGACTACTATAGTGACAAGAACAGAGATCAAAGGGAAACGCTGCTCCCCTCACCCACTACCTGGCCCAAGCTAAATTGCAGGAATGTCCAAGTAAAGCATAGGAGAGAATTTCAATTGATCTTTTTAAACCTATCCCATTTCCCAAAGTTGTCCCCAATGTTGATGAACCATTGATTTCTTCTCTTTTCCTCTGAATCCAACTTTACTGTAAGCTCTATAAAATTTAAGAGGAATCTTTTTATGAATATGGAGGTGTTAAATCAAATGTAACCCTTTTGTTAAGATGGTTGTGCCATGGAAAGTCCAAAAAATCTCAGGGCTTTCACATTTTTCTTGGCTCAAATTCCCAACCAGAAACTTTGGGAAAACCCACTAGGCTGTTATCAATTCCCTAATTAAAATGTAAACTATCCATAATGTATTGAAAGGATGTTTTAAAAGAAAAATCAACAAACCATTTCTGTTTGTGTAACCAGGTTAAAATTCCCTGTCTGCCTCTTATAGTCTATGTGATCATGGGCAAAGTCTTAACCTCTCCAGGCTCCAATTTCCTAGTTTTGGACAAGGTAGCTACAATATATTTATGTATCTATGTCTATTTCTATATTATATCTGTCTATCTAGCTAACTAGCTATTTATCTCTATTTTTTCAATTAGAGGCAGTGTGGCATAGTGCATAGAAACCTGTTCTCAAAGCCATTAAGACCTGGGTTCCAATACCATCTCTAACATATAGTAGCTATGTGGCTTTGGTCAAGTCACCTAACTTCTCTTTAGGCATCTCTCTAAGACTATAAAGTTACAGAGGAAGAGTCAACCATATTGGTAGAAAGAGGTCCCTTACTTGGAAGTTTCCTATACCAAAGATATTACAGGTCCAATCTCTATCTATCTATCTATCTGTCATTCATCTATCATTTATCTATCATTTATCTATCATTCATCTATCCATCACTTACCTATCATCTATCCATCTATCATTTATCTATCATTCATCTATCTATTATCCATCTATCATTTATCTACCTGCATATGTGTGTGTAAAGTATATAAATATACCACACATACACACATATATACAGATAGTATATATATATATATATATACTATACACACATATATGTGTATGTATGTATGTATATATCGTACACATACATATGCAACAGACAAATTAGAATGACTCTGAGGGCCCTATTCTTTGTTATAATATGTGAGTGAAGAATCTTTTTATATTAGAATGGTAACTTCTCTGGCTTGACCCACTCCCGTGAAGCAGAGAGATATCATAGAAAGAAACACTATATTTGGAGTAAAGAGAACTGGATTCTAATCCTGGCTCTTCCTCAATACCTATCTTGACTTGGAAAAGTTCATTTCACAGCTCAGAATCACAGACACTCAGAGTTGAGAAATTCCTCAGAGACCACAGAGCCAATCCCTGCCTGAACAAGAATGAATGACCCCTACAAAAGGCCTGATAAGGAGTCATGCAGCCTTTGGCCAGAGATCTCTAATGAGGAGGAATCCACTCCCCTCCTGGACAGTACTGATTTGGAATCACTGTGGGTAGTTCTGTTAGGACATCTTTCTTTGTATCAAACCTAAATTTGCCTCAAAGTAAATTCTGTCTTGCTCCTAGTTTTGATACCTCAAAGCCACAAAATAAGGCTATTCCCTCTCAGACTTGATAGCCCTTCAAATACTTGAAGGTGGATATTAAGCTTCCCTGCCTACAAGTGTTTTCCTTTCTGTCCCCATTTCCTTCAAAAAATTCTTATATAGCCCCATCTCAAGGTCCCTTAGCACCCTGGTTGCCATTCCCTGGATATTCTCCAGCTTGCAGTTTTTCCTAAAATGTGACACCCCAAATGGAACATGATTATTCCACAAAGGGCAAAATAAAGGAAGATTATCCCCTTCTTGATTTTGGATATGCTGCTTTTCTTTTCGCTTAGGCAATTGGGGTTAAACGACTTGCCCAAGGTCACACAGCTAGTAAGTGTCAAGCGCCCTGAGGCTAGACTTGAACTCAGGTCCTCCTGACTCCAAGGCCAGAGCTCTATCCACTGCACCACCTAGCTGCCCCTGATATGCTGCTTTTCTTAATTCAACCTAAGATGGTGTTAATTTAGTAATATTGCACTCTTGACTCACATTGAGCTTATAGGCCACTGAAACCCCTAGACCTTTTTCAGATGGTCTAGCTAAGCCTTTTCCATCTTGTACTTTGAAAGTTTATTTTTTAAATTGTAAATTTTTTAAAGTGTAAAATTTTACATTTTATCACTATTAATTTTTTTTAGATTTAGTCCAACATTCAAGCCTGTTGAGATTTTTTTTTGGATTCTGATGTGTTCTTTATTATCTATAAATGTGATGATCTTTACCCTCTTCATTGACATAAATGATAAATAGCATGAGATCAAACATGCCCTAGTAATACTCCACCAGAAATTCTCTTCTGTGGTGACATTGAACCATTGATGACTACTCTTTGGATCTTGCCATTGAATTATATGCACCTCTTCTCATCTAGCCTACATCTTTTCATCTTGCCCTCAAGAATAGCATGCAAGCCTTCATCAAATGTTTCCCTAAATTTTAGGTAAATTTTATCTACAGAATTTCCCTGATCTACCAGGCTATTAACCTTTAGAAAACAGGAAATGAGGTGGGCGTGACAAGATCTGATTTTAATAAAGCTATGCTGGTTTTTTTGTGATCATTACTTCCTTTTCTAAGTATGCACTAACTATCCCATTCAATAATACATTTTGGAATTTTTCTGAGATCAAAGGCAATAACACTGGCCTGTATTTTTCACAGACTCCATTCTTCCCCTCCTCCCCCTTATTTTTTTAAATCATACCATCACAGGCTTTTCTCCAATCCTGCAATGCCTCTCCTGTCCTTAGGATCTTTTAAAGATTTCTGATAGTGACTCAGCAATCTAAAGTATCAACTCTTTCTGTAATTTGTAGTTTTTTGGACTAGGCAACATATTTACTAAGATCGGCTAGGTGCCTTCTTACCACCGTCCTACTCATCTTCACAGAATTACAGAATTGTAGTGTTAGGAGCAGATTCATTCACCATCTAGTCATTTTAAAAAAAGAAACTCCGCTATAATGTAGCTAACAAGTTGTCACTCTGCCTTTGATTAAACACCTCCGAAGCGGAAGAACTCACAACTTCTGGAGGCTGCCTATCCCACTTTGGGACTATAAATGTTAACAAGTTTTTCCTAATATGAATCCTCAGTTTGCATCTTGGGTACTTCCATCCACTTTTACTCCTCAGTTAACAAACAGAATGATTCCAAACTCTCTTCCATATGACATCTCTTCAGAGACTCAGAGATACCTATCACGTGCTCCTTCACCTTGCGTCTTCTCCAGGTTAAATATGCCTGCTTCCTTCCACATATCCTGATAGGGATGGATTCAAAGCCCTTCACCATCCTGACTGCTTTCCTTCAGACACTTTCTGGTTTAACAATTTCCTTCCTTAATTGTGGTACCCAGAACTCCCCGTTTTTGCCCTGTTCTTTCCAATCCAATAATCGTAGGAGCATGGATCTAGAGCTGGGAAGGCCATCTCATCCACCCCTGCCCACCCCTTTATTTTGCAGTTGAGGGAAAATGATGCTCAATGGAAGTCAAGTGACCTGCCCAAGGTTATTAACGTATTAATAATCTCTAGCATTTTTATATAACTTTAAGGTTTACAAAGCACTTTACAAATATGTATCCTCACAACTCTCCTGGGAGGTAGGTGCTCTTATTATCCCCATTTTACAGATGGGGAGTCTGAGGTAGAAAGCAGTTAAATGACTTGCCCAGGGTCACACAGCTAAGAAGTGTCTGAATCCAGATTTGAACTCAGGTCTTCATTACTCTAGGTCCAAGTCTTTATCGGCTATATCATCTAGCAGCCTAAGAATAGTAAGTATTAGGGGGCTGGAGGTATAGAATTTAGGACTAAAAACTATAAAAAATGTTGAAAATTATTTTAGCGTATAATTGGGGGAAAAATAAAATAAATTAAATGACTGGAAAAAAATAGTAAGTATTAAAGACAAGATTTGAACCTAACACTAAGCCAGTTCTTTCCATTGTACCCCCACTACCCTAGAGCAAACAGAAGCAAAACCATAGTTTAGCACCTTGGTCTTTTGTTATTGTCACTCCATCTATCCCAAGCAATGTTCTTATCATTTCTTTGATCCTCCTTTTTTCCCCAGCATAATTAAAAACCTAAACCAAACCACCACCACCCCCCAAAAAAATCCAACCCTATATGTTGTACTTAGCTTTTCTCGTCAGAATTAATTTAAAATGCTGGAGTTGGACTGTTGTTGTTGGTGAGTTGTTTTCAGTTGCGTCTGACTCTTCATGACCCTGTTTGGGGTTTTCTTGGCAAAGACTGGAGTAGTGTGCCATTTCTTTCTCCAGCCTTTTTCACAGATGAGGAAACTGAGGAAAAGAGAGTTAAGTGACTTGCCTAGGGTCACTCAGCTACTAAATATCTGAGGCTGGATTTAAACTCAGAAAGATGAGTCTACCTAACTCCAGGTTTGGTGCTCTATTCGTTGTATCACCTCTATATTCAATAACATCTATAAAATCCCATGTTTAATATGTCTGCTGTGCTATCCTCCAACAGTATGTTCCCCTTTCACAATGATGGAGTAGCATTCTGGAAATATGACTGTGATTTTTCATTACGAAGTGTGAATTGTGACATTTTACAAGTGAGATTCTTATACTTTTGACTTTCTAGACAGCGCTGGCTACCTATCTCAATAAAGAGTGGCTCCCTATTATTTCTAAGATTAAATATAAACTCAGCCAGGCAAGTTAAGGCCTTCCACAATCTAGATCCTACTTATATTTCCAACCTAATTTCTCATTACTCCCCTAAAGGATCCATTTTAGACTCCAGCCAAACGAGACTGTTAGTTATTCCCTAATATCATTCCATTTGCTATGACCATATCCTTACCTTATCATCCTCCATACTTGAAACATACTCCCTTCTTATCTATCTCCACTTACTGAAAGATCTATTTTCAAAGCCCTGTTGTTACACTCACAATTCCTACACTTTCTCAGACCAAAACATCTTTCTCTGGCTACAGTTTTGCAATTTTTGTTGTCCCGCACTATTAGAATATAAACTCCTTGAGGGACTGTCTCACTTTCACATCAAGACTTTATATCAATACCCCCAGTGCTCAGCCAGGAAGACCTGGGTTCAACTCTTGATTCTTACATGTTTTGCTTGGATGACTCTGTATGCTAAAGTCACTTAATTTTTCATTGCCCCCTGATGACTCTCTTAAGTATGTAAAACTTTAGAGAAGTTGCCAACTATCAGCAGAGGGAGTTTCTCATCTAGGAGTTCCTTGTATAAATGAAATCACAGATCTACTCTCCATTCCTCCTTTTTTCTCTATGCCACCCAGACCCCAAATTGAATTTAAGCCCCTTGTGGGCAGGTTTGAGTTTTTTTTTCTGCCTTTGCATTTTTTATACCTACCATGGTAACATGCTATGTTTCACATAATAAGAATGATAAATGCTCATTGGATTAGACTGAATAGGACAGAATAGGCTTAAACAAATTAATGAAGTTCTAATGGTGAAATTCCAAACATAGGGAAAGCTTGATGTGGGAGATATTTAGAGGCAGAAATGGCTTCCCAGTGCCCATAAACTATACCATGTAGGTTGCCACATATATTCCCTACTTACTTCTGCTTCACTGACCGCACTAAAGTCTGACTGTGTGAATCACAACAGAATGTGGCAAGTCCTCAAAGACATAGGACTTTGTGTGTGTGTGTGTGTGTGTGTGTGTGTGTGTGTGTGTGTGTGTGTGAAGGGCAGGCCTAACTTGAGCACCCTGTTAATTCAGATTTGAAAGGGAATAAATCACAAGTCATCTTACTTATCTCCTGAGGAACACTGTTAGAAACAAACATGGAACAACTGATTGGTTAAAAATTGGAAGAGGACTATGACAGACATATATTGTCATCTTATTTATTTAACTTAAATGTAATGCACATCATGTAAAATGCCAGGATAGATGAATCAAAAGCCAGAATTAAGGTTTCCAGGAGAAATATTAACAATCTCACATATGTGGACTCTACCACTTGGATGGCAAAAAGTGAAGAAGAATGAAGAAGCTTCTTGATGAAGGTGAAAGAGGAAAGTGTAAAAGCTGACCTGAAACTTAATATAAAAAAACAAACAAACAAACAAACAAACAACTAAGACCATAGCAACTGGTCCCATTACTTTCTGGCAAATGAGACAAAAGAAATGGAAGCAGTATCAGATTTTATATTCTTGAGTTCAAATATCACTGTAGATGGCAACTGCAGCTGTGAAATTAAAAGATGCTTGCTTCTCGGAAAGAAAGCTATGGCAAATCTGGACAGTATACTAAAAAGCAGAGTTATCACCTTGCCTTCAAAGGTCCATATAATCAAAGCTATGGTTTTTCTAATTACAAAATGCATGGCTGTGGGAGTTAGACTATGAGTAAAGCTGAGGGCCAGCAGAATTGATGCTTTTGAATTGTGATGCTGGGGAAGACTTTTGAGAATCCTTTGTATAACAAAGAGATCAAGTAAGTCAGTACTTAAAGAAATTAATTCAGATTATTCATGGGAAAGTCACATACTGAAGTTAAAGCTCAAATACTTTGGCCACATAATGGGATGTCGGGACTCACTGGAAAAGGCCCTAATGTTGGGAAAGATTGAAAGCAAAAGGAAAAGGGGACAGCAGAGGATGAGATGGATAGATAGTGTCATGCACTCAAGGAACATGAGCTTGGACAGACTTCAAAAGAACAGTAGAAGATAGAAGGGCTTGGTGTGCTATGGTCCATGGGGTCACAAAGAGTAAGATACGGCTGAATGACTGAACAACATTATTTCATAACACTTTCCATTTTTTAGAACTATCCCTAACTCTGTGATTGAAAATTCTAGATAAAAACTGTCCTCAGAATCAGGCTATTGATTTAGCTAATGGATGTGAAAGCACTTTAAAGCTGTAAAGCAACCTAGAAATTAAGGTTATTGTTGTTAGGATTAATTTGATTTTAGAACCATCATCCAAAGAAACTGAAATATGGCTTACAAAGGTCGGTAGATATTGAACAGATGTGTTGACAAAGCCTACTGCTTCAATTTTGTGTTAACTCTAAACTCCAGTATACAAATTTTCATTAAAATCTCTTTCTCTCTCTTTCTTGAATTTCACAGAAATTTTTGGCACTTTTAAAATTCGTGAGAAATTTAGAAAAGATCTCCTGAATTCATCATCTATACTCTACTCCAACTACACAACTGGCATTGAAATCCAAGTAAGCATTTTCTCATTTGGCAGGGAGGGAGGACATTGGTAAGATTCTTGTTTGTGTATTGTTTGGACTAGATAAAATCCCCTCCTGATTTTGAGACTCTGTGATTCTCTATTCATTATATAATGAAATGATTGTAGGTAGATGCATAGATGTACATATGCACAAAGCTATACCCATACATGTTGATGTGTATCTGTATTTATATCTGTAGCTATCTCTATCTTTGTATCTATGATTATATCTGTACCTAGATGTCTGCTTTTTTCATAATTATTTTTATTTTGTCCATCGGTAAAACTAGCAGGGGTTCTTAATAGTTTTTTTTTTGTCTGTTGGGGCAGGCCTAACTTTAGTGCTCTGTTAATTCAGATTTGATGTTGAGACAAAATAAATCACAAGTTATTGAACAGTTAACAGAAGAAGGCAGACTTTGCCCTAACACAGCAAGGATATATACCACACGCTTTCAAAGGCAGCTTCTCTAGATGCAGCTCCCCTCATCTCCAAACATTAATTGATCTCCTCAGCAGGACCAGGTGTGGTGGCTGGCAGATCTTGAGAAATCCATCAAGTTGTAAGGGCTCTGACTCCATGTAGGTGGAACTTTTTATGTCCTTAGGTGAGTCAAAGGAGGCAAGGACCAATCAAATCACAAGGACAGCTTTGTTGCTTTTTGTTGTTGTGAAGTTATTTCAGTTGTATCTGACTGCTTGTGATCCCATTTGAGGTTTTCTTGGCAGATACTGGAAACTACTGGAGTGGTTTGGTATTTCTTTCTCTAGCTCATTTTACAGATGAGGAAATTGAGGCAAACAGGATTAAGTGACTTGCTCAGGGTCACACAGGTAGTAAGTGTCTGAGGCCAGATTTAAACTCAGGCCTTCCCAATTCCAAGCCCTGTGCTCCATCCACAGCACCACCTATCTGCCCCTTGTTGCTTTTTAGGAAAACTAATCCTTTTTACAAGGAATGGGGAAATCCTAGACCTGTCATAATATTATGGATTCTTTCGGCAGTCTGGTGAAGTTTATGGACGCATTCTCAAGATAATGTTTTTAAATAACTGAAGAAAATGCTAAATTTCAAGTAGAAGTTAGTGAAAACAAAGATGTAAATTGAGAGAGCCCCCCTGAAATCTATCTTTGAACCTCTTAAGAACCTATGATCTAGAGATAATTTGCTCTGCCCATAAATGCAATGTTCTTGAACTAATGTGATTTTATATCTGGGGCCTCATTCCTTATTATGGGAGTTTTGAACTTTCAGAATTTTGAACCAAAAATTTTTTGAGAGAGGAGAACTTTGTAACTATTTGTAATTCATTGATAAATTAATTTAAATTATAATCCCCTCCCAATCCCTCCAACTCCTATAATATTTTAGAGTCTTGTTACTTAGTGTTAAAATTAATGCTTAGGAAAATATAGCTCAGAAAACAGAGATTAAAATTCATAAATATTCATTTAGCTTGATAGGCTGGCTAGGAAAACTTTGATGTTTCAGGGAGGTGACCTTGAGTTGTCCAAATATAAAGCAGTGAAGTGTAAATTCCAGTAGGTCAAACAAATTGGGAAGATTTCAAGTATAATCCATGTATTCAAAGTGTCGAATATCTATGAACCAACTCAGCTAAATTTTGAGAAAGACTTATCACAAGATTGATCAGAGGATAATTACTTAATTTACCAGACAAGTCATGGAGACTACTTATTAAGACACAGAAAGACTTAGATATACCTTGAGGGAATATTCACACTAATAGTAACTTTACGGGGTCTGGGAAAGGCTAAAATACCAGCAATTGAAAAAAGGTCAAACACTCTTTGCCAGATTGAATTAGGTGAAGCAGCATGTGGTAATAGAATAGCCTCTGGTTCAGGAGCCAGGAGATCAGGATTTTAGTTTTTCTTTCCTTCTGTGAAATCTTAAAACTATTATTTAAACTTCCCAAACCTCAGTTTCCCCATCTGTAAAATAAGAGAACCAGATAAAATGATTCCCTAAGGTTCCTCTTATTTCTGAAAGTTTATGATTGTATATAACATAATAACATCAAGAAACTATTTATGAAGTTTCATAAGCTTTCATTAATTATGGTTTTTATAAGCTTTATTACTGAAAGAGGAAAGTAAACAAAGGCTTCAAATGTCCCTAATATGGAAGCAAATATGCCATAGGAAAAAAAAAAATCGTCCTCTTGTCACTCTGTTCCTTACTCTCTGGGCTATAACCTCAATAAAAGCTTTTTTGGCCAACTGCCATGTTTTTATTTTCTCTGTGATCTCTTTTGGAGAGCAAACATAGTCACTTAATTTATGTATCTATTTCTAAAGAAAACATACCCACATGATGGCTTTTAAATGTGTTATAATGATTGTCTTAAAAAAAATCTAGTGTCCATCCCTGATACTTTCTTAGACTTGCACATAGTAAGTGCTCAATAAATATTGGTTGGTTGTTCCATTTTTACCACCTGGGTATTTGTATTTTGAAATTAGTTGATTTTTTTCTGTTTTTTTTTTCTTTTTAGGCAATTGGGGTTAAGTGACTTGCCCAGGGTCACACAGCTAGTAAGCGTAAAGTGTTTGGTCTGAGGCTGGATTTGAACTCAGGTCCTCCCAACTTCAGGGCTGGTGCTCTATCCACTGAGCCACCTAGCAGCCCCGAAATTAGTTGATTTTTGTCCATTTCTTTTGTACATTTTTAAAATTTATTCATTCATTCAATAAGTATTACTGAATACTTACTGGAATAACTACATGATGTAGTATTTCTCTCTCAAATACTCTATGGATGTCAGGAGATCAGGGTTCTGGCCCTGACTCTGTTTACTATGGGACCTTGAGCAGCTCAGCCCCTCTCTCTAGGCCTTAGTTCACTTGCCTATAAATTGAGGGAATCATACAGAATATTCTTAAAAGTCACCGCCATTTCTAAATTTTTTGATATACTAAGTAGAAAGGGAGATATGATGATAAATACATTTGAGTGCCACTAAAGACATCTTGACAGTTGGAGGTATATTTATGGTGATGTCAATTTTTTTGCTCATGGCACAGTAAAAAAATATACTGTATTATTATATATTGTATTACTATTATTATTATACTGTAAAGAAGAAAGATAGGAGACCCATATGTGCAATTGCAAGTGAGATTCCATACAATTTGTGGCTTATCTAGCCCAAACTTGGAGTTCATTCCTATACCAAAACACCTGCTTTGAGAACCATTGAACTATAGAAATGAACTTTCATGAGCTTGCTAATAGCTAGTATTTATATAGCACCTACTATGTGCTAGATGCTTTACAAATATCTCATTTGATCCTCACAACAACCGTAGGAGGTAGATGCTACTATAATCTTTATTTCACAGTTGAGGAAACTGAGTGACCTAAAGATCACATAGCCAGTAAGTATCTGAGGCAGGATCTGAACTCACATTTTCCTGACTCCAGAACCAGCACTCTATCCACTGTGCCACCTAGCGACTTCCACCTGTTGAATGGTGAAATGGGAGTAAATTTGTAGGAATTTCAGTTCATGAGTAGGATAGAGACCATGACATATGAGAGTTGGTTGAAGAAAATGAAAGTGTTTAGCCTGGAAGAGACTTACGGTAACTGTCTTGTTGTGTTTGAAAGACAGTCACATTGAAGGGGGATTGTACTGGTTGGTTCCTCTGCAGAGGACAGAAGTAGGAACAATGAAAGGAAGTTGCTTATAGGCAGATTTCTTCTTGATATGAGGGAAAGTATCCTAACAATTTGTTCTGTCTAAAAGTGCAATGGGACACCTCAGGAAGTGGTGAGTTCCCCATCAGGCAGAGGCTGCATGACTAAGGACTTGTCAGGAATATTGTACAAGGTACCCTGTCTCGGGTATGAGTTGGCCTAGAATCAGGGATGGGGAACCTGTGGCCTTCTAGGTCCTTGGGTGCGGCCTTTTGACTGAGTCCAATAGAACAAATCTCTCTTATTAAGGGGATGTGTTCTGTGAAGTTTGGATTCAGTCAAAAGGTCACACTTGAGGACCTAGAGGGCCATAAGTGGCCTCAAGGCTGCAGGTTCCCCACCCCTAGGCCCTAGATGGTCTTTGATGTATTTTCTAACTTTGAGATAATGTGATTTTGTACATAGGACTATTCCCTAGAGAGGAATTCTGGACCCTGAACTTAAATACTGAGGAAAATTATGAAATTTCTCATGGAAATCTTCAGAAACTACTAGTTGGATTTTCTTCAGTTTAGGATGATTCAGATATGGTACTAAGAAATGGCAGTCAGGCTCACCCAAGTGATCTGCAAAAGTCTTTTCTAGAATTTAATTTAGTCATGAGATGAAAACTACTGCCTCCTTGTATCAGGGAAAAGGATTTGGCCTGAGTAAATGGGAGTACCCACCATCTAAACTAAATTCATCTCCCATTCTAGACTGTTATTGGCTTCTTCCTCCTACATATATATGTGTATGTGTATGTGTACATATATATATAATGTATATTTGTATGTATGTACGTATGCGTGTATATATACATGTATGTATATGTATATCTATATATGTATATCAATCTATATGTGTGTATATATGTATATATAGAGATATGTATATGTATATTTGTATGTGTATATATGCGTGTATATATACATATATATCTGTATGTGTATATCTATATGTGTATGTGTATATATATATATATGTGTGTGTGTGTGTGTGTGTGTATATATGTATAAAAGGGCAACTGTTGTGTGTTTTGTTTGTTTGATTTTGAGATCCTGCCCACTCTTTTTTCAGGCCTTTCTTGTTCATCTAGTTAATTTCCTGTCTGTCTCCACTGGTTATTCAAATGCCTTTCCCAGGCAAAGGGGATGAGATCAAAGTGTTGCCCTCTGTTCTCTTTCCCAGCTTAAGGAAGCCTACAAATGGGTTCCGGGTTTTGATTCTGTTCGTGTCACCCAGTTTCGGTAAGTAACACAATAGCCCCGGAAGGGTAGGCCCCTGGATTGCATAATGGGCTGCAAAATGTATATTGCATTCCTCAACGATTTTACAGAACTTGGTAAGAAGTCATCCTTTCAAATATTTATTTATTTATTTGTACATTCACCTATAAATCCATTCACTCGTCTATCACACATTTATTAAGTGCCTACTGGTTGTAAAAGCCTGTGCTAAATGTTTAAAAGGCTACAAAGAGGTGTAAGGCCTGGATTCTGCTGTTGTGGAGCTCATAGTCTCATAGAGAAGAAAAGACACATGCACAAACAATTACGATGTATTGTAGAATGGGAAAGTCCAGTGGGAGAGGGACAGGGAAGATAAGGCATAGAGGTTCATAAGATCACAACATCATAGATTTAAAGCATCTACAGATCTTGTGCCATATTGTCATTTCCCTTGGCGCTCAAGGCTGATGTCTGACCTGTAGCTTGGAGAGCTAACTGAACTAATATGTAAGTTTACAGTATCCTAGAGGATTTATATTTCATGCTATTTAAAGCATCACCCATTTACTAACTGGATGACCTTGGGTAAGGCACTTAATTTTTCTGTGCCTCGATTTCCTCATCTATAAAATGAAAAGTGTTGAACTACAGGACTATCTAGTTCATGAGAGAAAGATATTTCATCAATTTGCTATTTGTCCTGCCTTACTGATCTTTGGCCACACATACGTATTCATAAATCCCTCTCTATTTCATTCTTACCATAAAGGATTGTAAACTTTGGCATTTAAATCTCTTTCCAATCTGACTTCAGTCTACATTGTGAGACCTATTATGCATTATTCCCCTTGACTCACTCTATATTCCGGTCAAACCATATACCATCTCCTACTTCTGTTCATTTGTACCATCTACTCCCTATGCCTGGAATTCATCAACTCTTCCATGCTATGTCATAGAATTCCTAACTTTCTTCAAAGCTCAACTACAGCTCTGTTTCCTACAGGAAGTCTATTTTGCCCTCGCCCCCATCGCCTTATTAATACCCTCCCTGGGGAAATGACTTTGTCATCTCTTTTGACTATATTATACATTGACTCATCTATGTACATGTTGATTCTCAGTAACAGAATAGAAACTCTTTGTTACTGGGGACCATTTCAGTTTTGTTTGTGTATCTCCAGTGCCTGGCATATAGTAGGTGCTTAATAAATGCTTATCGATTAAATTGTACCTTGAGCTCAAATACCCTTAGAACTGAAGCACAATTGAGCAACCCTTGATAAATTGCTAAAATAACTTAAAGAGATCAATAGGTAAATATCTCTTATGATATTATAGCCAAAAAGGAATCTCATCATTTACAAGTGAAAAAACTGAGGCCCAGAGGAGCTAAGTGATTTGCTATGCAATTATAAGTTTTTTAAAAGCAGGAACTGTGTCAGATCTACTTTCCTGTTTAAAGCTCCTACAACAATACTTAAGGGCAACGAGGTGACACAATGCTTAAAGCACTGGGCTTGAAGTCAGAAATACCTTAGTTCAAATGTAGCCTCAGACACTTACTAGCTGTGTGACACTGGGTGAGTCACTTAATCCTGTTGGCCTCAGCTTCCTCATCTGTAAAACGAGCTGGAGAGAGAAATGCCAAACTGCTCCAGTATCTTTGGGTCACAAAGAATCAGATGTGGCTGAAAGAACTGAACAACAGTAACAATGCTTATTTATAATAGGCATTTAACAAATAGTTATTTGGAGTGATTGAATTGAATTGCCCAATGCCACACAGATTGATAATGGCAGAACTGGGAAATAAGCCACATGTCCTGATGCCCAGTATTTTATCAATTCTACCAGGTTGCTTCAAAGACTTGTTAATCCAGAAGAAAGATTTTTTTTTGATTATAGAGTTCCTTCCTCAGGACAGTATAGATACTGAAACAGTGTAGGTAGTTATTGAGTAGGAAATATAACTGATATAAGATTATTTATCTTTTTGGTCAATCCTAGTGCCTATAACTATTAACAGCTCATTAACTAGGAATCCTGGCACCTGGGGCAAATTCAGTAGGATCAGAGAGAGGTCTAATGAAATGCCCTGTCCTTTGAGGTAGACTGAAGACAGAGGAGAGTCAGAAAGGTGAAAAACTGAGAAACCAGTGTATTCAAAGGAGGCAGGGATTGGTGTGGAGACAGATGTCAAACACAGGGTCCACAGGTAGAGCAGATTAAAGTATGACCAGATTAAAATATAATTAGGAAATATTTAAGAAAATAAAAACGCAATAAAACACAGATAATATACACTGTAAAACATCAATGTGTGGCCTACAGGGGTCTTTATGTATGGATTTGTTGTTGTTCAGTTATGTCTGACTCTTTGTGGCCCCTTTTGGAGTTTTCTTGGCAAAGATATGGGAGTGGTTTTCCCTTTCCTTCTCCAGCTCATTTTCCAGATGAGGAAACTGAGACAAACAGGTTAAGTGACTTGCCCAGCGTCACACAGCTGGCCAGATTTGAATTCAGAAGATGAGTCTTCCTAACTCCAGGCCTGGCACTCTATCTACTGTGTCACCTAGCAGCTATATATAAATTAGTGGTTCCTTTTTCTATTTGAGTTTGACACCACTGGAGATGATTGTGAGTCAGGTACTGAACCTATTGATTGTGAGCTGGAAGTCTAAAGATAGCAGCAACAAGGGTTTAGACAGTTCCGAGTGACCTTTTGAAGAAGAAAGTCTTGTCAGGGGGAAGGTCTGAAAGTAGCACTAGGGAGCAAGGAATATATCAGCTGCTTCTCCTGACTCTGAGTATCAGGGCGTGTGAGAGAAGGAGCAGCCGTCCAAGGAGAGGGTCCCTAGATGGATCTTGGCATCACAGGATTTGGTATCTTCAGAAGGGCAGTAGACTGTATAGAGCACCCAAAGATGCAAAGATGAAGGGGACTTTGTTAGTCATTGAGGAGGGTTCCAGAGAACGGAATGGAAAGGAAAGGCAGGGCCAAATAGGGATTGGGGATGGCTAGAGTTGAGTTTATTATGGGCATAGGGGTGGGAAGGACTCTTTTGAAGCAGCCGGCATGTACTGCCTCTGAAGGCAATCTCACCTACTGATCTCAGTACCTTGCTCACATAGTGAGGCCTACTGAGGCATTCTTCTCCCAGTGAGCACACAGGACCCAGGAGAGGACCGTGATGGCCAGGCAACCTTGGAGAGTGGCAACTCAAGGGGCAGGAAAAGGAGACTGGGCGGCTAACACAGAGAAGGAAGCAACTCCCCTGTTGAGAGAAACTATATCCCCCTAAATAGCAGCACTTGGGCCAAATACCATTCACCTTACCCTAGTTCCATCTTGGTTTAATGCTACTCCATTTTCTGTCTCACATTGGTTGCTCTTTCCATATGATTCTTCTAGGGAAGGAAGTATTGTTGTTGGATATGAAATCGTTGGTTCTAGCCACCCATCTGAGCTTTTGGCTGCTGTCATGCAAGTCTCTGGAAAAGTGAAATCAAATCTTAAAAAGTTCTATCTAATAGAAGAAAGCTCTTTCAGAGTGTTTGAAAAAGGTAACACTATTTCTCAGTCTTCTGCTTAGTAGTTTGCTTTTCTTGCTCATGGGAATAAAAGAATCAAATGGACCTTAAAGGCTATATAGTCACACTCACTCCTTTTGTGGATAAGGAAATGGCAGCCCATACAAATTAAATGACTTGCCCAAGGTCACACATCAATACCTTTTACATAAAACATATGAGCTCTATTGTTACTCATAGGAACATAGGGAGATAAAACCCTATAATTGTATATTATTTTTCACTCATTCATTCAACAAATATTTATTAAAGGCCTACCACAGAAATGTCTAATCCAGGGGTGGGATACCTGTGCCCTCGAGGCCACATGTGACCCTCTAGATCCTCAAATGCAGCCATTTGACTGAGTCCAAACTTTACAGAACAAATCCCCTTAATAAAAAGATTTGTTCTGTATAACTTAGAATCAGTCAAAAAGCCACATCTGAGGACCTAGAAGGCCACATCTGAGGACCTAGAAAGCCACATGTGGCCTAGAGGCCACAGGTTCCCCACCCCTGGAAGATTCAACATCCCCCAGTATAGCAGGGAACCAGATTAAAATGTAATTGGGAAATATTTACCAAAACAAATAAAAATACAATGAAAAAATAGATAATATCACATTTTAAAACTAAGTCAATATGCAGCCCACAGGTATTCTTATGTATGGATCAATCCCCCCCCCCCCTTTCTATTTGAGTCTGACACCACTGGCCTACAGCATGCATGCAATGAGTTCCTGGAGCCAGGTGCTACTCTTGATTGAGTTAGGATGACTGATACTCTCTAGGCTCCACTGACTCATTCAGATGTTTGCTGCTTACTGATGTGGTGTTTGTCTCTCATGCAGAAGAACTATGGTGTCATTGGAAGTTGTGGTTGGAATGATTGCATAATAGTGACAAGGATGTGACCCCTGAGGAAACCATGTTGAGAACACTTGACTTTCCTTCTTTCTCAGAAGATTGCTGAACTCATTCTGAACCCACACAACTCACTGTTTTTCTCAGGACCCTTTTTCTTTCAGTCTTTGTCACTTGAACTTAGAACTCTCCAACCCAGATTTGCCTTGCCTTTTCTGTCTCCACTAAAGCAAATAGGTAGTTGGATTTGAATGAGATCTGGGGAAGTGGTATGGTACATGGAAAGAGAGTTGGGTCTAGAGTTCACATCCCAGCTCTGCCACTCACTGTTTATGCAATGTTGGGCATGTCACTTAATTTTCCTTACTAATCTCAGATTTCTCATCTGTAAAATAAGAGGGTTGAACTACTTGACCATGGGCATCTCTTCCACCTCTAAATCTATAGGCAGCTAGGTGGTGCAGTAAGTAGAACACCAGGGCTGGAGTTAGGAAGATCTGAGTTCAGATCTGGCCTCAGACACTTGCCAGCTGTGTGATCCTGGGCAAGTAATCCGACTATTTTTGCCTCAGTTTCCTCATCTGTAAAATTATCTAGAGAAGGAAATGGAAAATTACTGTAGAATCTTTGCCAAGAAAATCCCAAATAGGGTCAAGATGAGTCAGACATAACTGAAAAATGACTGAACAACAACATGATTTAACTAGTTGTCTCATTGACGTCTCATCTCAGTAGACTCCCGTGTTCCCAAAACACCAAAGTAACCATCCATGTTATCACTTTAGTTAGCTATATTTCTTTGGGTCTTAAAAATATTGGGGTTTTCAAAAAATACCTTTATTAATGTAAAAACTCAAGAAGAGATCACACCTTAAGTTGAAGGGATTAAATGACAGTCGTCTAAGGGCAATAGGACATAGGATAGGCATCTGGAGTGAGAAAAGATTACTGGGGAAGGGATGTGATGCCTGGATGCAGGAAAGATTAGGGGAAGGAGGAACATGTAGAGAACTGGAAGTTCAGTATGAGTGAATAGTGTGACCTAGAACCCAAAATTCTCTGATGTTATCTCAGGCAAATTTAAATGAGTATTCAGAACTAAGGAGGTGATTTTGTTATTGTTGTTGTTGAGTTGTTTCAGTTCTGTCTGACTGTGACCTCCTTTGGCGTTTTCTTGGCAAAGATCCTAGAGTGACTTGCCATTTCTTTCTCTAGTTTATTTTACATATGAGGAAATTGAGGCAGTGACTTGCCCAGGGTCACATTGCTAATAAGTATCTGAGGCTAGATTTGAACTCAGGATCATGTTTTTCTTACTCCAGGCCCAATACTCTGTGGACTATGGTGCCACCTAGCTGCCCCAACCATTAGAGCCAGTCAGACATAAAATGAGCTGCCTCAGGAGGTAGTGGGGTTCAATCCCAGTAAAAAGTCTTCAAATAAAGGCAAGATGATCACTTGTCTTGGACATTGTAGAAAAGACTCCGGGATAGCCATGATTTGGACTAGAAGGTCTATGAGAGTCCCTTGTAACTTTTAATATTCTATGATCATATCAAATGGATCTGATATTTACTCTTATTAGGGAGAAACAACATAGAGGAAAAAAAGCTCCAAGTTCTGTTGTTATTAGTGCTGTTCAGTCATTTTCAGTCATATCTGACTCTTTGTGACCCCATTTGGGTTATTTATTTATTTATTTATTTTGAGAAAGATACTGGAGTGGTTTTCCATTTCCTTCTCCAGTTCATTTTACAGATGAAGAAATGGAGACAAACAGGGTAAAGTGACTTGCTCAGCGTCACCCAACTAGTAAATATCTGAGGCCAGATTTGAACTCAGGAAGAGAAGTCTTCAACTCAAGGCCAGGCAGTCTGTGCACTATGGCGCCACCTAGTCTTACCTCAAGGCCAGCTCTGGCTCTGTGGTTTTGAAAGCATGAGCCAGCTCTTAGGGGACTTGCATGTATTTAGGGACCAGACATTTCAGCTCCAGTTCTCCTCTCACCTCCCCACCCCTGTTTGTTTCTGTTTTTGTCCAGCTGACTGTGACAGTATCGTCTTTGGATTTGGTTCTGAGAACAACCAATACACCCTGCCCTGCAGCGCCGGCTATGTGGGAAACATCACTGCCAGATGTCACTCTTCGGCATGGCAACTGGTCAAGGAAACATGTGTGCCCCTTCAGCTGGAAGAACTGAGGAAGGTCAAGTATTTCCACATAACGGACCTTATCCCATGTTTGGGTTTCATCACCAAACAGCCCTTAGTGAATGTGACAGCTCCAGTTGTCCTCAGCAGGGGTCAAAGTAATTCAGTTAATTCAATGAGCAGTTATAAACTGCCTACTAGGTTGCAGACACTGTGGATACAATGACAAATATGGAAAGGGTTCTGATCCGCAAGAAACTTGAGTTCTAAGAGACAAGTAAATCCATTTCAGAGTCCTTCTGCATAGAGTGGGTTTAGCATAAAGTAACACCTTGCAGAGGTAGCTGATGGTACAGTGGAGAGAGCAGGGGGCCTGGAATTCAGCCAAACACATTTACTAACTACATGACCCAGGACAAATAATTTAATCTCTGTTTGCCCAGTTTCCCCAACTGTAAAATGGGCACAATAATACCATATAGGGTTATGCTATGAGAATCAAAAGAGGAAGTATCTGTAAAAAGCATTTAGCACATAGTAGGTGCTATGTAAACACTTTTCCCTTTCCTTTCCTTTCCTTTCCTCTTATCAATGCCTAGACCAGAGTTGGGAGCCTCAGAGCCAGTTGGAAGTTGGGACTTGGAGTTTCAGAGGTGAGGGAGTCTAAGCTACATAGGAGATCACCAATAAAGCAGATAATCAGAAATTCAGAATCACATACCAACTAAAGGTCAGGATGAAGCCTGGTTGTGGCATATGAGCTCATATCAGCTATGTGGTACAGTAGATAGAACACTAAGCCTGGAGTCAGGAAGATCTGACTGCAAATCCAGCTTCAGAAACTTACTAGCTATGTGATCCTAAGCAAGTCACTTCACTGCTGTTTGGCTCAGTTTCACCAACTGTATAAAGGTGATAAGCACTTAGCTCAGTAGATGGCACATAGTAGGTCCTTCTTCCCTTCCCCTTCTCTATTGGTGTTACCATAGTCAAGGACAGAGAGCTTCAGATGACTGTCTTGATTATGGCTGTAGCTCTTTCAATGCCCAGCAGAAGGTTTTATACAAAGTAAGTGCTTAATAAATGTTTAAATAATAAGTAACTAGGTTGAGGAGATAGTCAAGAACCAGGAGACCAATGAAGAATTAAAGGAGCAACAAAGGTATTCTTTTTCTTTTCCTTCATTTTTTGGCCCTCACCCCCACCCCCATTGGGGAAGGAGGAAAGAAGGAAAGAAAAAAAATGTTTGGTTCTTGAAAAAAATAATTAACAAAAAGAATTAAAGGGACAGAGAAAATCCAACATTTCAGGCACTAGGGGTCCAGAGACCTTGATAATGCGGCAAACTTTTATCTTTGGGAGGTTTTTTTTATGAATTCACTGAAGCCATTCCTGTGTGATACACTCAGATAAGGGTGTGCACTTGGTTAGACTAGAGAGGGTGAAGGGCAGGGGTAAAAAATGATCTTGACACAGTTCAGTGTTCAATGTTCAATGGAAAATAATGGCACTGTTACCAAAAGGGAAGAGGAAAACAGTTGAGTACAAGAACTGGGTTCCTTTGGTTGTTTCTATTTCACTGAAAGGGAGCACCTGTTCATACCAGCTAACCAAGAAAGCATGACTCAATGACCATAGAAATGGGCTTTGGATAGGAAGCAACATGGAAAAACCAATGAAGCAAATAAAACCTGGCCCAGGCCTAACACAGAGGATTAGAGAAACAAACAGGCCCACATAACATTTTGTTTTGCATCTTTCTATTTTCTTATATGTTCCCCTACTAGACTATGAGCTTCATGAGGGCAGAGACGGTATATTATCTAAATTCCATCTCTACTCCTCATCTAGTTTAATCTTCTGTGCATAGTAGAGGCGGAATAAATATTTGACAAATTGTGGTATTGAACTAAATTGAATTGAATTAGATTATGTAGTTCTCAACAAGAAAATTTTATCTAGGGTGATAATAAAAATGAAATCATACTTGTATGGTGCTTAAAAGCATGTAAAACACTTTCTTTGCAATGAAAATAGTAGAATGTAAGTCCCTTGAGGCAAGAGACTATTTCTTGTGTGTGTGTGTGCATGTGTGTGTGTGCGCGCGAGTGTTTTTCCCTTCTCTGTGACTTGTTCTTAGTAGGTGCTTAATAAATGCTTGTTTAAAGGAATTCAGTTTAATTTGTTGACAGCAGTCAACAAATCTCATGGACCTTGGATGTCAAGTAAGCATTACCTTATTTTTTTTTAAAACTTTGACTATCCTTTTCTAGAATCTCAGTGCAATTCAAGGCAATATCACTGAGGCAGCTGTGTCTACCATGATGCAAGAACTTTCCACCATCATTCAAAAAAGTCCATCCACCACAGCTGGGAGCTTAGGATCTGTGGTCTCAATTCTGAGACAGGTTTCTTCTCTGTCATTCTCCAGCCATGTCCAGCTCTCAGCCCCAACAACAAAGGTATCTGGTCCTGGGTACTTGGCAATGTTCATCCCAAATGTTCATTTAGGTGGCTACCATTCAGAGCTATTCAACAAAGTTGTAACAACCAACTAAAGGAATCACAGAAAGGTTAACCACTTTCTTCAACATAGGAAAAGAATTCAGAATCTAAACTATGGGACTTGGAAATGAGTTAGAACTAGCTTTAAGTCGACTGTCTCTGGAACACATGACAAAGAGAGCTGGAGTCACCATTACATGTTCAAAGCAAGCTTGATTGAGTAGGTAGAATGCTAGAAGTCAGGAAGACCTGGGTTCAAATCCTGTCTCTAAGATTTACTATCTTTGGGATTTTGAACAAAGTATTTGATATCTCTGAGCCTCATTGTTCTGATCTAGATGAATGTGTGAAAGACAGAAGGACAATAGAGAAAAATTTGTGCTTGCCAAAAAATTTTTGCCTGAACTCTAAATTTGTACAACTTATGTTCACTTCCTGGAATGATGTCAAGGGGACTATGGTAGAAGTGTGTCTCCAGAACACTGGGGATCAAAGAAACAGCCAGATTAGCAATCTAACAGGCTTTAAAGAATGGAGCAATACAGGGGCAGACATGTCTGCAGGAGAGAGAAGCATATGGGGATTAGACGAGAGGAGACAGAGTTTGTGGAAATTAGATGCTTCACCCCAATCCCTTCAGCCCCAGGAAAATCCAAAATGTGCACAGCATGCATTCTCGGTTAGCATGGATTTTTGCTCTCTTAACTGCAGTAAACACGGAAACGTGAATAAACACAAACTGAAACATTAATAAAGAGATCATGAAATTGGCCTGTCTATTGTTAGTAAAATGAGTGCAATATGGGAAAAGGATTTTAAAATCCACCTTAATCATTAAACTATGGTCAGAGTAATATGGTAGTCACCACTGCAGCCTCAATGTGATGAATGCACATCTCTGTATGCATGTCCCCTCTGTATGTATGTCCCCATCTTCACATCTGTTGAATTTCCAGTGTCCTCATAAGAGCCCTAGAGTCATCAGCCCTGGATACAATCCCTTGATTCTGCTGATGTCAGCCGCTCAACCCAAAGTTCTTGTTGAACACATCAAGAAAGCTAATTTGAGTTGGTGAATTTTATGACCTATGTAATAGTTCTAGTTTTCCATTCCATTCCTATGTCCATCATGATGGCCACTGACTTCTCCCTCAACTATGCCTTTCCTCTGACTGAGCATTATTCTCAGAGACAAAACTAAGGCAAGGCAATTGGGGTTTTTTCCCAGGGCCCAAAATATAAATGATAATAATAGCACTTATATCCTTCAACACCATAGAAACAACAAAGTTTAACACCCAGTTAACATGAATGATTAGTCAAAATAGGAAGGCACTAGATAGCAAGAGTCTGGAGTGAGTTCCTCCCCTACCTTGACCTGCTCTCTCTAAACAGAGCTGTTTCCCCAAAATGCAATCAAATTCGGGTCAGCTAGGGAAATGGTCTGTGCAGCTTGCCACAGGCATGGTTAGTGGTCACACTACTCATAGCTTTGGCTATTCTTTGTTCATTTTTCATGTACTTGGAATGGTTCACCTTATTCCTTCAAAATACTAATCAAGTTCCCACTTTGTATTTCAGAATTTCCTAAGTGTAGTAGACCACCTCCTTAATTCTACGGCCATAAGTAATTGGACAGTTTTGCTGCAGGAAGAACGGAATGCCAGCTCACAGCTGCTAGAGACACTGGAAGACATTAGCACTATGGTTCCTTCTAAAATTATGCCCCTGATGTTTTCAGGAAAATTCATTAATTGGAATGGGATTCTACCAACAGCGAGTCAGAAACAGGAGGGTTACAACTATTGGATAGAACTCTTACAGGAAAATAGTTCTAAGCCTATCAGAGGGACATTGTCAATAGGCAAAGACCAATTCCAGAAATCCCTTCCCCAAACTATCATCAGTATGTCTTCTCTAACTCTGGGAAGCATACTATCCAGCACCTCAAAGAGAAATGCTACAGTTAATGGGCCAGTGATATCAGCCATTATCCCAAACTATACATTAGATGAACTTTTCCTGATTTTTTCCAAAATAGACTCCAACCTGAGCAAGCCATACTGTGTGTTTTGGGATTTCAGACACTTGGAATGGAATGATGTCGGCTGCCAACTGTTGAATGAAACTCATGATACCGTGATGTGTAGATGTACCCATCTGACCTCCTTTTCCATGCTGATGTCACCCTATGTCCCTCCTACCATCATACCTGTGGTAAAATGGATCACTTATGTGGGACTCAGTGTCTCCATTGTAAGCTTGGTGCTATGCCTAGTGATTGAGGTTATGTTCTGGAAGCAGGTCAAGAAAAACCAAACCTCCTACACCCGCCACATCTGCATGGTGAATGTGGCCCTGTCCCTTTTGATAGCTGACATTTGGTTTATTGTTGCAGCTACTTCTGATGCTCAGAAAAATGCCTCAGGAGTTTGTGTAGCTGCTGTTTTTTTCACTCACTTTTTCTATCTTTCCTTATTTTTTTGGATGTTGACCTTAGGCATTCTGATCGTCTATCGAATAGTTCTGATTTTCCATCACATGACTATGCCCACCATGATGGCCATTGGTTTCTCCCTTGGTTATGGTTGTCCTCTTCTTATAACCATCATCACCATCGCTGCCACGCAACCAAGCAATAGCTACCGAAGGAAAGATGTATGTTGGCTCAACTGGTCAGACAATGCCAAACCACTTTTAGCCTTTGTTGTTCCAGCCCTGACCATAGTGGTTGTGAATCTGATGGTTGTGCTAGTGGTCTTACTTAAACTGCAGAGGCCTACCATAGGAGAAAGACTGAGCCAAGATGACAAAGTTACTGCTATCCGCATTGGAAAGACGATAGTCATTCTAACACCCTTGCTAGGGCTCACTTGGGGATTTGGCATAGGAACAATAGTTGACAGCCAATCTCTGGCTTGGCATATAATATTTGCCCTGCTCAATGCATTTCAGGTGAGAATAATAATAGTATAGTTCAGATATAAGAATGTTATTATAAGCATGGCTTAATAGAAACCATAAGGTATAAAGATACGGAGGTAAGAAACATAACTTCAACTGACCATCCAGTCTTGCTGTACCTCAAACTATCCAGAAAAGCGATTTTTAGAAGGAGAAATTGATGGCAAAAGCATTTAGGATTACCTCTTGCCTTCACTCTCACATAGGAAATTCTATCACCTTCTTCAGTAACCCATTTCAAGAAACCCAACATTTTCAGGAGGTTCTTTTCTAAAATTAATTTATTTATTTTTAGTTTTCAACATTCACTTCTGTAAGATTTTGAGTTTTACATTTTTTCCTCCTCCCTCTCCTCCCCCCTCCCCAAGACAGAGTGCAATCTAATATAGGCTCTACATATATATTCATATTAAACATTTCACATTAGTCATGTGGTAAAGAAGAATTAGAACCATTGGGAGGAACCACAAGAAAGAAGAAACAAACAAACAAAAAAATCCAACAACAAAAAGAACAAATAGTATGCTTCAATCTGCATTCAGACTCCATAGTTCTTTCTCTGGGTAAGGATAGCATTTTCCATCTGAGACTTTTGGAGATGTCTTAGATCTTCGCATTGCTGAGAAGAGCTAAGTTTATCAAAGTTAGTCATTGCACAATGTGGCTGTTACTGAACCATGTTCTCCTGGTTCTGCTTACTTCGAGTCTTCAGGAGGTTCAATATATCTAGTCTAAATCCTGCCTCCTGATGATTAAGGACACTTCCCTTGATTTGTTTGTTTGTTTTTCTTTGTTGAAATAGACTTTTTCATGTACTTCTTATGCCATCTTTTTCCTGAACTTTGTCCTTGCTAAGAAAAATGAACATTTTTTTTAAGAAAAATCATTGTATACAGATTCCATTTAAAGGCAATGAATAAGTATCTGTTGAATTGGATTTTAACATCACTATTACTTTCCTCTCTATACACTCTCCATACTTTCTGTGTCTCACTTAAACTGTGAAACACAACACTGAATAGGAAACTAAGGCACTGACGATTGAGAAGTAAAGTGAAATAAAATTATAAAATCTTTGCCATGGACACATGGCATCAAAAAGGAAATCAAGGATGATTAGAGAATTTAGGGGCAGGAAGAACTTTGGAACTCATGGGGTATGATGTAAGACTCTTAAGCAGCCAACTAGATGGATTCCCATGGGTGCGGCATGGATGGAGCTTGGCTTAGTTCAGTGCAATTACTGAGGGCCCTAACAATCACGTCAATAATTCAAAATTTCTGAAGTGCCTACTATGTGCAAAGCATTATTCCATCTTTGGCAGGTCTTCTGTCACTGAAGCTGGACCAAAGTTAAAAGTAGAGCTCTTCCCCACATCAATATAAATTTGGGTGCTGATTGCTGATCTTTAAAACTGTACCTAGGGCAAGCTTGGTTGACAAAGAACTTGATGGGGGTGGGTGGGTTGAGGTGTATCAGTAGGTACAGGCTTGCAGAACATGCGGAAGTCATTGCCAGGTAGTATTTCCATATGCATTGCTTCCTGGGATGATAGCATCGGGATTATAAGGCTATATGACTATAAATTACAGAGTAGGTAACAACCTGCGTTGGTTGAAAGAACTCCTGCATCCTGGTATTCTCTATTTCAATGAAATCCCAATCCCAGTCTACCCCATTCAATCTCTATCCTTTGTTCACAGCACTGCGTCAAGGCCTAAGAGAGAGATAAAGATAATACAAAAATAAACAAAATAGGATTGGGAAGTTTGAAATCTAGTAGGGAAAGATAACATACACAAATAATTTAATTATACTAATTATAAAACTAATAATAATATGTGCCTAAAGAAGGAAAACTAATGGTAAAAAATATAATGAATAGAGAGTACTATGTGAGATCCAACACCTCTCTATCCAAATATAACATCTGGCCAAAGGAAGCAATTTTGGACAGGTGCAAGAGAATAGAGGGAGATCAGACCCCGTAGGTCTTTAGAAGTCTGTTTGAAAAAGGGTAAATACACTTAACCCCAATTGCCTTAAAAAAAAAAGGTAAATAAATGAATTGTAGTCCATTTCTTTTTTATTTTCTAGGGATTTTTCATCTTATGTTTTGGAGTGATTTTTGATAGTAAGGTATGTACATCCTTTTTTTCCCCACCCTGTCACTCTTATCCGTTGTCATTCAAAGTCACCTGCCAACCTGGATCTCAAGTTCCTCATCTGGCAAATGATAGAATTGGACTAGATGATCTTTAAGATCCCTCCCAGCTCCAATAGCTTTAACGTGAGGCAAAAGATGCCTCAGCTGAGACACTAAAGAACCCAACCGTAACCACTGATAACTTTCATTTTTGTCATTTTCAGTCATATCCAACTCTTAGTGACCTTATATGGGGTTTTCTTAGCAGAAATATTGGAATGGTTTGCCATTTTTTTCTCCAGTTCATTTTACAGATAAAGAATTGAGGCAAACAAGGTGAAGTGACTTGCCCATGGTCACAAAGCTAGTAAGTGTCTGAGGCCAGATTTAAACTCAGGAACATGAATATTCCTGACTCCAGGTCCGGCACTCTATCTATCATGCCACCTAACCACACAATATCATACAGGACCATTTACAATGAAATTTTTGAAAATCCCCCAATCAAGAAAACATTACACAAAATGACTACAACAATGTAAATTGAATGGACATCAAAAAAATAAAAAACTAATTAGAATGACCAGGTTTGGCCCCCTCAGAAGAGATATGAATCATAGCACAAAGATTTATAGTAGAAAGGGCCTTATCAGTCTAACCCCCTCCTATTACAGATGAGGAAACTGAGTCTTAGAAATAGTAAGTGACTTGCTTACGGTCATGCAGTAAAGAAATGACTAAGGCACGATTTGAAATCAGGTCTTCCTGATTCCCAGTTCATTGCTCTATCCCTTACTGAGACTACACCTCCTTTCCTTCTTTCCACGGGTGGAGAGCTATGGGTGTACAACTCTTCATAAAATGTGATACTTGGTTAATGTATTAGATTCCTTAGTTTCCTGATTGGCTTCCTCTCTGCTCCCTCACTTTTGCATTCTCTATATTAAGGAATGATTCTCAGGAAGGGGAAAGGGGAGAGATATTTTGGAAAGTGGATAATGATATAGAAACAAGAGATATCTATAAACGTTTACAAAAGATAAGAAAATGACTGCCCATAAAGACCAATCTACCTTTATGCAGAGAAATTCTCCCTGGCTTCTTAATCCCAGCTCTGATATTTACTCTCTATGTGACCTAGGACAAATCACAACTGATCTGGGACTCAGTTTCCTCATCCGTAAAATAGGGAAGCTGGACTAGGTGGCATCCAAGATTCTTTCTTTCTCTAGATTTATAAATTCCTGCTCAAAGACTATAAAAGTGGAGCAGCACCTGACAGATACTAACAAACATATGTGTGTGAGTATTTTATCTTAAATATTCTCTGTTTTCCTCCTAGGTTCGTCAACTTCTATTTAAGAAGCTGATTCCAATAAGCTCATCATCAATGCAGCCAATGAAGGTAACTTTTGATAATGATGTATACAATTGCAGGAAGGGGCTTCATGGACCCTTCTTATACAGTCACAGGACTTTCTTCTGAAGAGTTCCAGTATGGAGTCATGAAAAGTCATAAGTTTAGTAATTATAACAACTCACATGTATGTCTTGAATGAGATAACATATTTAAAGTGCTTTGCAAACCTTAAAGCACTATATAAATATTAGTCATTGTTATTATTATATTAGTTAATATAATACTATTCATATTTATTCATTATATTTAATTATGACAATATCATTAAATATTTTTGCTTGGTTGCGTCCAACTCTTTGTGACTCCAATTGGGGTTTTCTTGACAAAGATACTGAAGTAGTTTGCCATTTCCTTTTCTAGCTCATTTTACAGATGAGGAAACTGAGGCAAACAGAGTGAAGTGACTTGTAAGCTAGTAAAAATATCTGAGGCCAGATTTGGACTCAGGAAGATGAATCTTTCTGACTCCAGACCCAGTACTCTATCCACTGTGCCACCTAACTACCCCATTTTAAAATATTAATTGCATTTAATTATATTATAATAATATAATTAAACACTAATTATTGTTATATATAGAATAATAGACTCCTTCATAATCAGATGAGGAAACTGAGGCCCAGAGAAGTTAAGAAATTTGTTGAAGGTCACTAAGATAGTAAATAGCAGATGCAGGATTTGAATTCATGTCTTTTGAGTCTAAATCCAGTGTTTTTTCATCTATATGCCCATTCACTTGAAATCCAATTCAAAAGCATTTCTCACAGAATTGAAGGATTTATATTGAGAAGGGAGCTTAGCACACTCCCCTCATTTTACATGAAACTGAAGCCTAAAGTAGTTAAATGAATAGGGTCACTTGGGTAGTAAATAAATGGCAGAATTAGAATTTGAACCTAAGTTTCATGACTCCATGTTCTCTCCTTTGAACATAACCTTAAGATTTAGAAAGGATTTAGAAACTCTGCCACATTGCTATACAACTCCCCTCATCACAGTTACCATCTCTCGTGCTGAAAGGTTATACCCCTACACTTTCACAGCTGGATTCAGAAACTCTTTCCTCCTCTTGACACAACCTGAGTCATACGGTTCTATGCTCTCCTGAGATGATGTGCTTGAGAAGCCTCCCACCTCTTGGGTATTTGGGTAAGAACACACGCAACTACAGAATGCCTTTGTTCCAAGGCAGAGGTTGTGGAGGGGCTCTCTTTACAGTTTTTCTATGCCTAGCTCTCTCAGTATCCCCTCAGATCATCCCTGACAGAGTCGCTTTCTTCTTTTTATAGGTCCAGTAAAAGGGACATCCAATTCAGAGCAGTCTGAGCCAGTTAAGCCATACCCCAGAGTATGGGGTTCACTCATTCATCCTTAATGGGGTGCAAATAGGCCAAGTATGTAGAACAAGGAGATGTCATTAATTCTCTTAACAAAATGTTTCTGGCTACGTCCACACCCTTCTATTGGGTGTGCCCCTATCAAAGCCACAAACAATGGTTCACCACACTATAGCTTTAGCCAGTTATTTGGGCTTCCTTGATTGAGGGCTATCACACTTTAAAGCCTATATATTTTATTTTTTGGTCAGGACCTGTGACTTCATTGGTAGAAGGAAATCCTCTCTATTAATGCAGATCAGAAGCCATTCTGTAACTTTTAGTCTTAGAACAGGGGTTCTGAACTTAGACCCACAGAACCCTAAGGGGTCTGTGGATAGATTTCAGGGGGTCCATGAACCTGGGAAAAATTGCATCTTTATTTTCATTAGCCTGTAATCGAAACTTGCCATTTTCCTTCAATTTTGAAGGCAGGCAATAAACATTACTCTAAGGACCCCATAGGTTTCACCAGACTGCCAAAAGGGTCGTGGCACAAAAAAGGTTAAGAACACTTGGTTTAGAGAAAGGACATGGAGTCAGTTTAAGTGACTTGAATCATATTGAAAAGCCAATATGTGTCAGTCTTGTAACCCTCAGCAAATTACTTACTTTCTCTGACTCAATTTCTTCACCTGCAAAATGGGGATAATAATAATGCTTATTATTCCTCATTATTACTGTGAGGCCCAAATGAGATAATATATATAAAATGCTTTGTAAACCTTAAAGGATTATACACATATGTGATTGAGGAACATTTTTTCATCTTTCACATTTTAAAAATATTTGGATTTTCTTTTCTTTTCTGAATATAAAACAATATACCATTTGAATAAAATCAATGCCACTCATGTAAACAACTGACTTAATACCTACTGTCCAGGATTGGTTGTAGACTCTTTTTGTTCTTACCTTACATCTTCCTCTCTGTATTCTCCATAGTCCATTCTTCTTCCCCAGAAAAGTAAGGAGATGGTCTTGACAATCCACTTCTCAAAAGAAAGAGCTGGCTAGGTTTTCTTCTGGGGCTGGTTCCACTTCATTTCTGACAAATTTTTTTCTTATTACTGAAGACTGAAAAATTCTTTATAGAAATACAAAGTTCCAATTTCACTCTTTGCCAGAAGAGTGTCAGCTGAACGCAATAGTTAGAAACAAACATATTTGTTTGGAGTTTGGGGTTTTTTACTCTGGCTTTGAAATTTGTCCTTGGGGTAGTTAATTAGCACCTATCTCTCCTGTTCTTGAGCCTGATTGCTAAAGTGAGAAATTTCCAGTGTTTCACATAAATCAATGAACTCAACCGCATGGAAACCTACATAAGTCTTTGTGGTTTTGTTGTTGCTTTTAGAAAAAAAGTTTTAAAAAATTCTCCTTTCACAGTTCCTAAATGACAGTAAAAAAAAATGCCTCTGACATTAGATATCATTCTCAAATCCCTTATTCTACAATAGGAAGGAACATGGGATTCGGAAGAGCATAGAATTAGGAGACAGGGACATTAGGGCCATAGGTTTAGAGCTAGAAGCTATTTTAGGGGCCATCTGGTCTGAACTTCGCGTTTTACAGATGAAGTAACTGGGGTACAAGCAAGGTAAGACACTTAGCTAAGGTCATACATGTAACAAGTGGCACAGCAAAGATTTGAACCCAGGTTCACAATCCACTGAATCACAATCCACTATACGATGGAAAGCCATTGCACCACTCTGTCTCCAATCCTATGTGACCTTGAGTAAGTCCCTTAATCTATCTGAACCCCAATTACCTGATCTTTTAAATGAGGTGGATAGAATAGATGATCCCCAAGATCCTTTTTTGGCTCTAATAAGTTTTTCAGTAGGGTAAGCTATCATTACTGTGATGATACTTTTATGACTCTAAAGGTCTAACATTATTTATATTCATATCTATGAAATTGCAAACAATTAAAATCCTTTATTTATGAATTAATTTTCTAAAAATGAAATTCTACATTTTCTCCCTTCTTGCTCCCCCTCCCATTAAGAAAACAAGAAAAACAAAATCCTCATTACAAAAAATATAGTCAAGTAAAACAAATTCTTGTACTGGCCATGTCAAAATACATACATACATAATATGTACATATGCATATATAGATATATGCATCTATCTATCTATCTATCTATGTCTCAATCTGAACTCTCAGCCTATTACTTCTCTATCAGGAGGTAGGTTTTTAGTGAGTTTAGAGGGGAAGTGAAAAGGTAGAAAAAATGAATGCTTGATAATTTAAAAAAGAAAGAAAAAAGGAAAAGAATCCAATTTGGGTATATAGAAGATCCTCAAAGCATCTGTATTTCCAGCTTTCAGATAAGAATCCAAACACACACACACACACACACACACACACTCACAACGAAAACACCTTGTTCTACCAGTGCTTATCCATACTCCTGAAGTAGGGGGATGAGATTTTTCAAAGTAGAGTACTGTTTGTAAATCAATTTGTGGTTTGTCTTGTAAAAAGGAAATATGGTATCATAGAAAGAGTATTGATTTTAGAATCAAAAGACCACTGCTTGAATGATATGTGTGGATAACTACAAGGGATCTTAGGGGGATTAGAGGAGTTTCATTGTTATATCTCTAGGCATAAGGGGGCTGTGCAATCCTAATTAGTAAATAGTCTACTGATTGTCTTATTAAGAACAAATACTTAAAATGTATATAGGGTTTGATAATTGGAGAAAATTACAGCATGTAAGATCAAGATGTTTTCATGGTTTCCCTTAATATGTTTTCATGGCAGCGTCTTTAAAGAGAATGCTTTTATCAAATGATGACAGGTGCACAAAGAGTCAGTTGACTGGTTTCATAATCCAAAATGATAGCTCTAAAAAGTTATCTCTAGCAAATAAAAATAAAATGTCAAAAAGTACTGTCAAAATTATAAAAATGTCTGAAAGCTGTCTCAACACCGTCCAGGTATTCTCAGGATGCAATAATGCAAGGCTTTGGTGCATCATGAAGATTTCTTAGGATTTTCTAGAACTAAGTAATAGAGGGGACAACTTACAAATGTTTTTACTTATTGATAGAATGATTTACTTATTGAAAGAATGATAGTAATTTCCCCCCAAAATTTGTTTGTTTTTTGTTGTTTTTTTTTTATAAGGCAATTGGGGTTAAGTGACTTGCCCAGGGTCACACAGCTAGTAAGTGTCAAGTGTTTGGTCTGAGGCCGGATTTGAACTCAGGTCCTCCTGACTCCAGGGCCGGTGCTCTATCCACCTGTTTGTTTTTTTTATAACCTCTTTCTAGTGAGTAAAAAACTCAAGGATACACTTAGGAAAATATCTTTAGGCATTTGGTATCTTGAGAAGAGATTAATGTGTAACAGAGATCTAGTAAAGAGACATTAATTAATACAAATATTTGGGATATATAGACTATCACTAACATAGTACCATTAAGAAGTCCTATTTCCGGGTAGCTAGGTGGTACAGTGGATAGAGCACCAACCCTGAAGTCAGGAGGACCTGAGTTCAAATCCGGCCTCAGACCAAACACTTGACACTTACTAGCTGTGTGACCCTGGGCAAGTCACTTAACCCCAATTGCCTTAAAAAAAAAAGAAGTCCTCTTTCTCTTTCTTTCTTCTCCTTTTCCTCCTCATCTTCCCTCAAAGAAAAAGGAGAAAAGAAAGAAAAAGAGGAAGGCAAAGAAGAAGGAAGATGGGGAGGAGGGGAAGAGGAGAAGGGAGAGGAAATAAAGAAAGAAGAGAAGAAGGAGAGAGAGAACTAGGAGAAGGAAGATGAGAGAAAGAAGGTAATATTATTTTTTAAATGCTGTTTTCTTTTTCTTTTGTAGAGTACATCAGATTTAGCAGTGGGACCCAAATTCCTGAAGACATTTAACCCACTACACCAAAAAGGTGAGTTCAAATAACCTCAGGGTTTTTAAAGAGTTGATGTGCTAGTGGAAGGATGGATATCAATAGTGTTCTGTGAAGAAAATTTGAAATAAACCACCCCTGAATCTATAGAATCATAGGATTTGAGAGTTGCAAGGACCTCAGTGACCACCTTATCTGACCCATTGCCAAAAGGAATCTCCCTGTCCCCCATAACAAAACTGAGAAGTGACCATTCAACCTCTGCACAAAGAACTCCAAGGAGGGGGAAATCTACTTCTCACTTCTCAAGACAGTCTTCCATTTTAGGAAAGACAATTTTTAGGAAGCTTTTTTTTTTCTCCTTAATTTTCCCCTTTGCAACTTCTACTCTCTATTCCTAAAATTAACGCCTCTTAAAACAGCGTAAGATGTTTAGTTCTCTCAGCTATTGCATTATAGTACTGACTCCTATTGAACCTAAAGCCCTCTAAAACACCAGAACATTTTTTCCCAGACAGTTAATAAACATTTATTAAGTATCTACTATTTTCTAGATATTTGGTTAAGTGCTGGTAATTCTAAGAAAGGCAAAAGACTGTCTTTTCTCCAAGGAGTTTAGTCTAATGGGGAGACAACACACAAAAAATAGGTACAGAATATGAGAGCAAATACATACACACGTGCTCAGAATACATACATGTATATATGCACACACATGTGATTATATGTGTTCATACATGTATTTATATGTACATGATGGAACCACACCTGTGTATGTATGAATGCACATGTATGTGTGATTGTATTATATATGCACATATATTTATGTATGTATACACACATATATATGTATGTATCTTGTTGCTCAGTTATTTTTCAGTTGTGTCCAACTCTTTGTGACCCCATTGGTTTTTTTCTTGGCAAAGTAACTGGAGTGGTTTGCCCTTTTTTTCTTCAGTTTATTTTACAGATGAGGAAACTAAGGCAGACAGGGTTAAATGACTTGCCCAGGGTCACACAGCTAGGAAGTTTCTGAGGGTGGATTTGAACTCAGGAAGCTGAATCTTCTTGACTCTATGTCCAGCACTCTATCCATGGTGACATCTAGCTGCTTCATATGTATGTGTATATACACACACATATATATTCATATACACACATATAGATAGGTGATAGAAATTGATACAGAAATAATATGCTAAAAAAGGTTTTTTGGACTTCTTTATTATGGTGACTGTTTTATATAAGTTGGGTTTCCCTAAGAAATTAGGATAAAGTTAGTGTTTTTACTTTTAAAAATAAGTTTATTGATATATTTTATTTTTAGAGTACCTATATTTTCCAATATATCCTTCCCTATACTTCCTCCCAGAATACCATCCCTTATAACAAAGAATAAATAAATGGGGGGGGGGACGGAGACAGTTTTACAGAACAAACCAACACAGTAAAAATGCTGACATTATATGTAGTGTTCCACACCCTTAGTTCCCCATCTTTGCAAATAAGAGGGGAGGTCTTTCTCATGATTCTTCTAGAAGAAGAATATAATCATTATAATTTTATAGCATTTGCTGTCTTTACATTTTAATGACCAAGCTAGAAGAATTACCTGAGGTGATTGATTGGCTCCTTGACCTACCTGGTTATCAAGGATTCTCTTGAAATTCAAGGTTAAGATACTGATCACAGGAAGTGATTGAGGAAGAAATTGAGTGGTGACTACTCAGGAATGTGAACAGTAAACTATATTTTAATATATTGTGATTCTATTCCTTATTAGAGATTCCTGTAAATGCCACCTGAAATCTTCTAGGGGAAAAGAGTCCTGTCACAAGGCATGATAGACTATGACAATTTGGACATCTTTTTCTCTAAGCCAGAAATGGCTTGGATATTCAGATCAATATTAAATTCAATAAAAATTGTTTCTGGCAAATTTGAGCCTAAATCATAGAGATTATTATTATTATTATTATTATTATCTTCTTTGACAAACCTTTCCTTTTAACAGAAGAGGAAACTGAAGCACAGGGAGGGCAAGTACCTTGCCTAGGGTCACAAAAAGTAGGAAACATTATTAGAGGTAGGATTTGAATCCAAGTCCTCTGATTTCAGAAACAATACTTTTTCTATTGTAGTTTGCGGCTTCGCTGCTCATATAACTTTGGCCAAGTTATCTGTCTTCCTTATTCTTCAGTTTCCTTATCTACAAGAGAGTAATATATATAGTACCTACCTCAAAAAGTATTTGTGAGGATAATACACAGTAATATATGTCAAGTGTTTTCCAAATCAAAGTGCTATATAAATGTCCGTTAATTTCTGATACAAAGTCTGTGAATTTTGCTCTTTAGGATAAAAATGCAGCCAGACTCTGGCCAAAGTCTCTTAAGTTAGTATTATAGGGAAAATAAGACTTATGAAAAGTATAAAATCCTGTATTGTCTAATCTACTTGACCTCATTTCCTGATAAAGCCAGATAATACCTATAATATCTGTATATAGATACAGATATATAGGTGATAGAAAGCTATAAATATAGACATAGACGTAGATTTGAACAATGAGCCATTATATTCCAAAGAGAAGTGTCAGATATATCAGTGTCTATCATTACATCATTGAGCTGGTGCCTACTGGCCAAACATTTTATTCATACCTATCCTTCTTTAATATACACCCAGAGTTCACCTCCACAGCTGTGGAAAAAAGTACTGTTGGTTTATCCTGTACATTTCATTCTATTGGATGCTCATGTGGTTAAATAATGTACTTGTCCTCTCTTTCAGGCACATATACACTTTCTGGTGTAGGAGAGTCCACAAGTGACATTATGCTCACTCAGTTTTTATCATCTGAATGATCCTGAGGAATGCAAAATTAAATAAGAATCATTCTGCACATCTTAACATTTGCAGCTAAATGTCAGGAGTGAAATTACTCGTGGTGTTAGGTGACTTTTATGGAATCGTTAGTCATGTCAGATTGTGAGGTTGGGGCCAAGACAAAGAGACCACAGATGCTCTGCCAATGCCTCTTTTACCTTCAATCAAGTGGATATTTTTCCTCTCTGGTATGATGGCTGATTGAGAATCATAGCCTGAAAAAAAGGAGACGCTATTTTGATGACGGGGAGGGACGGGGCTTGTATCACTTAGTGCTCTTTTTCTTTGCCTCAGAAATGCCTTAAGAATGGAGATCCTGACTTCAAAATTAATCTCATATCCCTGGGATTGGCAGAAGTCATTCATGAAGAAAAACCTAGGACAAACAGATGATTCTGTACTTACTTCCTCTTAGAAGGCAATTGAGCTAAATACCACCCCCCCCAACACACACACACACACACACACACCCCCATAAATGTGTTATCTTCCTCAACTTTCCACTGAAATCCTATGCTGTTTTTTTTTTCTTTTTGAGTTTGCTGACTTCAATTTAAAACCACATCAGGAATACAATATCTCCTGGACCTTGGTACTTTCTTGTTTACGTTTTTACAACCCCTGTTCCATTGTCTGCCTCAGTGCTCACTGGGTAACTCAGATTTTGCTCTTCAGGTGTTATTTCCAATTCATCTAGGTTGTCGTTTGTTGAGTTTCTGATAGATAAATAGATCTGATAGACCAGAGGTATCAAACATGGAGCCCAGTGGCCAAGATCTTTCCCAGATTAAAATATAATTAGGAAATGTTTAACAAGATTAAAAACATAATAAAACATAGATAATGTTAATTTGTTGTTTTCTAAGTCAATATGTGGCCTGCAGGAATGTGTGGCTTAGTGGTACCTATTTCTATTTGAGTTTGATACCATTGTACTAGACAAATACATGTGGAGAGTACATGTTGGTTGAAAATGATCTTCCAAGGTCAGAGTGCAGAGTAGTTTTAGCAAACTGCTGGAAAGAATTTGACACAGTACTGTTGTAGATGGACAATATAACAGCATAGAAAATACTTAATTTCTCCAATTCCCATTGCCCTTGTCTGGCTCACAGATGGAATGCTGGCTAGTGGCTAAATATCATATCCTTTTTTTAAAAGAACTTTCTAAGATTTGGCTAAAAAGTGTTAGCCCCTATCTGAGACAGTCTATACTTAGAGAACAGATAGTCTCTTTTCTGAAAAGTGCCACATTTTCTGTAGAACAAATGGTAACTTGGATAGAGTGTGGGTCCAAGTGACACATTCTACAGCAGGAGTTTTGGTTTGTGTGATGGTCCCCTTGGCAATCTGGGGAAGTCTATGGATGCCTTCTTGGAATAATGTTCTTAAATACATAAAATAAAAGATATAGACTCACAAAAGAAATCAATTATATTGAAAAACAGTTATCAAAAAAATTTTTTAAAGTTCATAAAACTCCGGTTAAAAACATCTGTACTACAGACATGAATTGTCCATATCAGAATGGTTATATTTCCTTGAAATAGTAGTTCATTAAGAAAATCAAGTCTCAACTGATACCATAGCATGAAGGTAGTATCTACAGTTGTAGGACACCAGCCCTCTACACACACACACACACACACACACACACACACACAAAGTGCCTTTTCATACACTGTCACCTGCCACAGTCATAATTGTGGATGGAGCTACATATCACATACTCAACTAGCCCTTAGTTCTATTGAAGTACTATGGTTTTCAATTCCCTAGAGGTCCACCTAAATGGCTACGGGGCTGAGACTGCAGGACCTTCTATTGATGTTGTGGTGGTCCTATAATTCATTCCTGGAAGAAAAGTATCTAGAGACTGAGGATCATGGGATCGTAGATATGGAGCTGAAAGGAAACTAGATCACACTGGGTCCAACCTCCTAACGAGGGGTTAAGTTGGGCAAGTGCTTGAGGTCGTGCAGATAATAAGTAGAAACAGCTAAGTTTTGAGTTGCCACCTCCATGCTCTTCTCCAGCTGTCCTCTGTGCCCAAAATGTTTCCCCTTCCTTATTTCCACTTTTTAAAATATATAATTTTTCAAACAATAGCTCATGTGCCACCTTCTAAAGGACTCTTTCCTGATCTTCCCAGTTGGTAGCACTCTTCCACATCCCATCCCAAAATTACTTAGCATTTATTTTGCATACAGTTTGTATTTACTTTTCCATTTATATTTTTATCTCCTAGCTGAATGTAAGTTCCTTGAAGTAGGGGCTGTCTCATTTTTGTCTTTGTCATACAGTGTCATGTATACAGTAGATACTTAATAAATGTTTGTTGAAATGATTATATGAAAAAATGAAAGTGAAGATTATCTAGACTTACATACATAGCTATAGTTGCACAATTCCCTTCTCCTTACTACCTCAAATCCATGGAATTGTGGTCAGTCTTACATCTCATGCCAATAGTAACCATTTTCCTTTCTCTTTATATATCATGTACCACATACACACTTTCCTCCTGAAATCATGGCACATGTACTTTTTGCACATGCCTTGAGTATTATTTGCCTCTGTGGTTCCAGTCATTTCCCCAGCAGTCCTTGAGTTCTGTTACTGGCTCAGTCAATGAATTAGCTGAATGACCTTAGGCAAGTTATTTAACCTTTGTGGCTCTCAATGAATAGAATTGCAATGCTAGATGAGTCTTTAGAGGTTATCTAGTCTAACTACCTCATTTTATAGAGGAAGAAATTGAGGTCCAGAAGAATCGGTTGCCTTGTCCAGTATCACTAAGCAAGCTGGTAAGTGGTAGAGAGTCCAGTCTTTTGGTTCCCATGTCTTAAGATCATAGGTCTAGAGCTGAAAGAGACTTAGCATCTATGTAATCCCACCCCCTCATTTTTCAGATGAAGAAACTGAGTGACTTGTTCAAGGTCACACAGGTAGAAGAAAATAGAAGAGCTGGACCTTGAACCAGGTCTCCAAGTTGAACCAAGGTCCTCTGACTCCAATCCAGCATCCTTTTCACTGCATCATAATACCTCTTCTGTTTTCATTCTACTATGTGTAAAAGAAGGGGTATATATGCAGTGATTGCTAAGACCCTTCTAGCTCCTATATTATAAATTGTTCACACACCTGTTCAGGATATTGGGATTTGGTGAATAAAATCATTTATCTTCTATTCATTCTCCCTATGATGTTAAAGAGCAGGTGTTCTTAACTTGGGTTCCATGAATTTAAAAAAAAAATTTTGATGATGTCTTTCACTATAATTGGTTTCCTTTGTAATTCTATGTATTTTATGCATTAAAAACATTATTTTAAGAAAGGGTGGGTTATAAAGCCCCAAGGAGGCTCAAAACCCCTGAGTCACCCTGTAAGTCCAACAATAATGGTCCAAAGCCCCTTCTGGGGGCTGGGTAGGAGCCCGTTCACAAGGAGTCTTGCTTTTCCCTACCAGCATGAATCAGCACCAGTCTTCAGGAGCAGTATCCTTACTCCTTTCTCCTAATGCCTGGTCCTGGTAAATCCAGATAAGAACCCTATAAAATCTCTCAGGCTTTACTGGTTTAGGGAAAGGATGTTCCATTCCCTTTTGTGCCCCATTGGGGCACCAAACTCTATCCAGGACCCCAGTGGACTGCCCTGTGTCCCTCTATCCTTTTGTTTTGTATCACCCCTTAATTAAACCTTCTTCCTTTACTGTCTTTTTGGGTGTTCTGTTTTTCCTTGTAGAGGACTTTGGTATTCTGAATCTTTCTAAGTTTCTATTAAGAAAAGGTCCATAGGCCTCACCACCAGATTGCCCAGGGGGTCCAAGACACAAAAAAGTTGTGTGTGTATAAAAATATATATATATATTTATATACACATATGCATATATACATATATATAAACAGGTATATACACACATATGTATGCCCAAACACATATATACACACATGCATATATGTGTGTATACATATATACATATATATGCATATACATACAAAATTTTATAATATCCTTTCTCTGCCATTCATAAGTATTGATTGTGTAAGTAGCCCCTTCTACGTCAATTATTTTGGCTAGTCTTCTTAAATCATGGGATCATAGATTTAGAGATGGAAAGTCACCCTGAGGTCACCTAGTCCAATTCGCATCATTTTTCAGATGAGAAAACTAAGGCTGTCAGAAGTTTGGGGCCTTGCCTAAAGTCACACTAGATTGTTTACACCTTTCTTGATGGACCAGACATTTGATACTCTTGGTATAAAGGTCTTACCAAGTCTTAAAGAGTGTCCTATGTTGCTGTTTTAACTATGTAAGAACTCAAGAACTACATTTATAGCTCTGAATTTCTCACAAGCTAACTTAGCAATGTCCTACCCATAATCACAATGCTACTTTCTAGGACCTAAGTACCTTAGGTGGCTATTTAAGAAGCTCTAGGCAAAGGGATTTGGGAAAGAAAACTTTCCAAAGTTGTCTACCTGAAACTGTTTGTGAAAGACTCATGATAGAATTCCATGTGACTTCATTTTTTTTTAAACACTGGCTTTGGTTCTATTCATTTCTTGTCTATTTTAATCCTCATCCCAGTAGGACAGTCATGTAGAGTGTTATGGGCATGTGGTTTTACCCAAATAGAACTATACCTAAGAATAGAAGGGTGGAATAAAAATATGCAAATAAAACCAAAATTATGATGGTACCTAAATTAATTTACAGATTTATTGTTTTAACCAATCACTCCACTAAAGGGCTGCTTTATAGAACTAATCAAATAATAATTCATTTGAAAAAAAAACAAAAGGTCTAGAATCTCAGGAAAAAATAATAAAAAAAAAAAGAAAGAAGACTAATATTTCCAGAGATCAGCTTATTATAAAACACTAATCATCAAAGCTATTGGGTGCTGGTTAAAACATAGAAAAGAAAACAAATGTAATAGATTATATAAGCATGCATTACAAGCCATTTAACTCAATAATCCAATGTCTGATCAACCCAAGAATGTAAACTGCTTGAGAAAGGACTCCCTATATAAGAAAGACTGCTAGGAAAACTGGAAAGCAATTTGGCAGAAAATGGATTTAGACTAATATCTTATACTATGTACCATAATAAATTCTAAACTGATATACAACCTAAACTTATAAAGTAACTTAAGTCACATCATTTCATTCATAGATAGATAAATATAGATGTATTTGTATATATAAACATACTATATACACTTCTATCTAACTATCTGTCCATCTGTCTGTCTGTCTATCATCTATCTATCCATGGCAAGAGGAGGTACAAGACTCAGGAAACTAAGTAAAATCAATCCCAACTCCTTTTACATTCCAGTGAATGCCTCAATAGAATGCTAAGTCCTAGAGAGTAAGAACTGTTTTCTTTTTGTGCCTTCAGGGCTTAACAACACATTGAATTGAACTGAATCAAATTGATCAGGGAGCAGTTATGGTACAGCAGGAGAGTCCTCAAACACTAAGCACTCATTCCCATCTAGGATATGATGCGGGGGTGGGGAATGTGGAGAGTGGCAAAAGCATTTATATAATGCCTGATATGTGCTAGGCACTGGGCTGAGGCTCCTCCCCCCACTCCCTTTTAAAAAAAAAAACAAATATGAATTCTTTTGAACTTCAAAACAACCTTTTGAGGTAGTTGCTATCACTATCTCCATTTTATAGTTGAGGAAATTGATGCAAATAGAGGTCAAATGACTTGCCCAGCATCACACAGCTACTAACAGCCTGGTGCTGAATTTGAACTCATGTCTTCCTCACTCCGGCCCAGTACTCTATTCACTGCACCATCAACTGCCTCT